GGTCGGGGCGGGAGACCGCGTGGGGGGTCGGGGTCTGGGATGGAGACCGCGTGGGGGTCGGAGTCGGGGTCTGGGCTGGAGACCGCGCGGCCGGGGTCGGGGCTTAGCCGGGAGGGACGTAAGCGCGCGGGGTCGGGTCGGGCCGGGCCGGTCGGTCGGGGCGGGGGGGCTCGCCGACACGGCCGGCCCTCACGGCGCCGCGCTTGGTCCCGCAGGCCGCAGTCATGCAGAACGACGCCGGCGAGTTCGTGGACCTGTACGTGCCCCGGAAATGGTGAGCGCCCCGCACCGTCCCGCTCCGGCCCCTCCACCCTCCCTCTGCCCGGCCCTCTCCCCGCTCACTGCGCTTCCCCCGCAGCTCCGCCAGCAATCGCATCATCGGCGCCAAGGACCACGCGTCCATCCAGATGAACGTGGCCGAGGTGAGCCGGGCGGCGGGAGGGCCTGCCGGCTGGGGAGGGGGCGGGTCTGTGCCGGCCTGAGCGTTGATTCCCAAACCCCAGATTTAGATCTAAAGGCACTTGGGTGCGCCTCCTTGTGACCCTCATTCTCAATTTATAGGTCGACAAGGTGACAGGAAGGTTCAACGGTCAGTTTAAAACCTATGCTATCTGCGGGGCCATTCGCAGGATGGTGAGTGTCCTCGGCCTTGCCCACCTGGGGGGGCCTTTGAGCAGGAATGGCATCTCCCTCCTTGTCCTCAGGCCTGAGCAGGTTTGTTGGCAGAATAGACTCGAGCCTGTTGGACTGGACTCTGCGGTCCTTTCATGGTGGTGGAAAAGGGGTGCTGAGGGCCCAAGGAAGGGCCCCCCTGAGAAAGCACTCAGGCAGGCCTTGACCTTGGAGCTTCCCAGTTAGCATAGGCTCTCTCAGGTCCCCAGGGCCTCCCCTGCACAGTCAGGTGTCTGCCCACTGCTAGGGTGTCCTCACTTGAGCCAGCTGTGGAGATGGCCCCAGTGTGCTTTTTTCCCTCTAGGGCGAGTCAGATGACTCCATTCTCCGACTGGCCAAGGCCGACGGCATCGTCTCAAAGTAAGAGAGCTGGAGTTTGGGCAGAGGTCTGGGACGTCTCTAGAAATCAGGTTTTAACATTGTCCTTCCTTTTGTTCTAGGAATTTCTGAGACTGGAGAGGATCATGGATGTGGGATGTTTGTTATAAATAAACAGTGAAAACCCATCAGTGTTGTTTCATCCTGTGCCTGTGTGGGGACACGCCTGTGGGCTCTGGAGGGGCCGGCATTTTGTTGTTAATGGTTCACCAGGGTTGATCAGCTGAAGGCCTAGGAAGCATGTTGCAAAACCAAATTTTACTTAAAGGACAAATACATCACTGTTTGCAAACTTCCGTGATACACAATTTGACATTGAGGTCCAACAGCCTGCTTAGAACATTTAAATCCACAGTGCCTGCTGGGGACTGAGGGGGTGGCACCAGGCCCTTGGACGTAGGGACAGCTGGGCTGGCTCTAGAGGGAGAGGGTTTAGGCTGAAGTTTGCCTTAAATACTGGCTTTGCTCGAGTACCACACGGTGGCAGCTCTTGCATTGTTAAAAATTACGCGCTAAGGGGAAGGTTACAGGAGGGTTTGGTAAACGATTAAATGTCACTACATAAACATTCAAACTTAAATTACTGTATCAGCCGTTCCGTTTGTATAGAAATTCCCAAGGTGTGTCCCTCAAGGGTAAGTGTAAACCAGGACATAAGTTTTGGAAGTCAGTCCCTTGCAGTGCTTCTAACAGGAGTGTCACTAAGACTTGAGACGCTGTGGTGGCAGGACAGGTCACTTTCCAGAAGAGTTGCCTGGGGCATAGCAGCTTCATCCTCCAGGCCCCCCTTGGTGCGCGTCGGGGTTTGGGGGGCCATCTTGGGGAGGCAGGGAAGAGGCACTCCTCAATAAGGGTGGGATACAGATTTGGGCTTCAAGCGCCACCCTACAGTCTCCCAGAAAGTGAGCGACTGAGGAAGGAGGAGCAGCAGCCAACAGGGTGGGAGTGGGTCTGCAGGTGGCCCCCTGCACCTCTACTGCGGTCTAGGCCAAGTTGCTGGTGGTTGAGTGCAGTGATGAGGGCTGGCATCTCCCTGCTGCAAAAGCACCAGTCTGCACGGATGGCATGTAGGGCGGGCTGTCCTGGGCCCCTCCAGTGACAGGTTGATAGGACAGCAATGGGGAAGCAGCTTAACGGCCCAGCCAGCCAGCATGGTCCTTTCTTAGAGCAGCTGACCCATGAAGGGAGAAACTCCAGTCCTCGGACTTCGGTATTTCTGGTGGGGCCATGAGCGGAGAGGGCGCGGAGGAGCTGACGTGGGCACAGACCTGCCCTCGGGGTCTGCTTGGGGCAGGCTGCACTGGCCAAGGCGCTGCTTCCTCCTGCCCTGGGGGAAGGCACGGGCACCAACCCCCTGGGGAGGCAGGGCTGTGAGGTTAGTCTCCCTGCTCGAGGGTCAAGTGTGGTTCAAGTCACAGCTTCGGCAGACTTCATTTAACCAGTTTTTGTTGCCTTAAAAAAACCCACATCCTAAATGACAATAAACAAACTGTTTCCTCCATAATATTGCTTAGAAGATCAAGAGCCGGCAGTCCCATCGTCCTGAGGGCTCCCAGTGTCCCGGGCAACAGGGCTTTTCCTGGTGAGAGGCGAAGGGTGGACCCCGCCTGCGGTGGGCGAGGGTGTTGAGGGGTGTGACACAGGAGTTCACAGTGACGCGATCCTCAGACCAGGTCCAAGAGTAGAAGACGAGATCAAGCAAACCAGAGCCTGCCCTCGTGGCTGAGGCTGATGCCCGAGCTCTGCCTGTGGGCTGCGGGAGGTGAGTGGCCAAGCCCCAGGGGCTGGGCGGGACTGGGAGGCAGCCGGGCCGATGGGGCGGGGCTGGGGAGGCCACGTTCCACAGTGCAATTTCCACACCGACCGGAACCAGCCAAGACTGATGCTTCAGCAGGTGAACTCAGCACTTCAGTGTGTTGAGGGAGATCTGGAGGTGCTCGTGCTGTGGCCACGGCAGCCTGCAGAAGGCCGGGGCACGCCCAGCAGGAAGGAGACGCTGCGAAGTCAGGATTCGCTGCCACGCGCCGCCAACCAAAGCTCTGGTGCCAGACGGTCTCGGGCACAGGGAGAAAAGACACAGTGACAGCCCCACGTTCCGCCCCTGGGAGATCACAGGAAGGTGCTCGAGAGAGAGCGGTGGCGCGTGTGCGCTGGGATGAGAGCGGAGTCCCCAGGAAGCAAGGCTGGGAAGGAGGAGCAGCACCAGCTAGGAAGGCCGGGCGTCCGCACCGCAGGGCCCAGAGCCGCCCCGGGCCCACGCGCGTGCTGCGGCGCCGAGGTGCCGGGTCAGGCTAGAACTGCTGCGTGAGGCATCAGTAATGAGGCAACACTGGCTCTCGGGAAGGTACAGAGCAAGTTCCAAGGCCACGAGCACAGTGAACTCAAACCCGATGAGGTCCCGTCT